TGTTGAAACTGTACTTTCGATTTGATTTGAAACTGTCTCATTGCTATATGTTTATCAATAAAACTTTGAAAAGAAAAAAAAAAAAAGAACACATATTGACATGCAGTTTAAAAGACTGAAAAAAAAAAAAAATCAAAGAGCAAGGAGTTGCAAGTGTGTACAAATCTGAACTCTTATGATCAGCATCCTCTGCTCCTCAGGGTCTTTGGTTCAAACCCAAGACATCTCCTAGGTTGCTGTGTATGAATGCTCTTGTCATGATTAAGAACAGAAGAGAAAGGCTTAGCATTCTGCAAAGGCCAGGAAACCTCTCAGTAATATTCATGCACATAGAGCCATCTGTCAACACAACATGGAAATCAGCATCTTCTCATCTACATTAACTATAAAAGAGGCATCCCATTCCTAAAGCCCCAGCAAGCGGCAAAGCCTCACCACAGCATGACCCGCCACGCACGCACCCAGTGTCCTGACCTGATCAGCAAACTGGGTCATGTAACGCTGCAGCCTGGTCTGGTTGTCCATCTGCTCGCACATCTGTACCAAGATGTCAAAGTCACAGTACTTCTCTGCTAGAGAAGCAGCACAAGGGTACTGGCCTAGTGCGACTGGAAATGAAAATCAATGGGAAAAATGCTGTTAGCAAAACTTAAGCATGTAGCAGAAAATAGCACTTGAAATTTTACCTTTATTCATGTCATACATTAAGAATAATGAATGGAATGGAAGTGTCCTAGTGACCAGCACTCTGCTTCATAGCCACATTCACCTGGAAAAGATGCCTTCTAGACAGTGCTCTGCTTCATTGCTGCTCCCGACACAGTGCCCTTCCTCTGCACACCTGAGTCTGGCTTGGAAAGGAATGCGCCTTAGCTGACTACCACACCGCACCTCCCATACCCTTCACCAGCCCTTACCAGACTCTGCTTATTCATGGAAAGGCCAGCGATGCTGGGCTCTGAGGGGAGGTCTGCCCAGGTGAATTTATACATATTTTTTACTATCCAGTTAAGTACTCTAAAAAGGCTAGACAAAGGAACACAAAGCTGTACTGTTTGCTTCTCTTTAAGCTCTTGGGTATGGTTGGATTAATCCTGTTTACAGTGACTATACTACTTAGCCAGATAACCTCTTCAACCATTCTGCAAACTCACAGACCTGCAGCCCTTGCTAAGTGTCATGTACTTACGCAGAGCAGACAAGAGCTCTGATCTCTTCTGCAGATATTCCATTTCTAGGTTGTTGTACCTTTCTTGATCACTGGACTTGTCTAGGGACTTCAACTGTGAAACATAACCATCCAGGAAGCAGTCAATCAACGTGACCAGCTGCTCTGTCAAGGTGTTCCGGAGGTGGCTGTCTACCTGTGGGTAAACTGTCTTCAGGATGACCCCATGCTGACGGACGATTGCTGTTCGGATGCCAGCAGGACTGCTTGTAGCTGTGAAGTCACACAGAGTAACTCATTCAGCAAGGCTGCCATGATGGAAGAAGGGGAGAAGCCTGAATGCCTGAAAACTGTCTGTTCACTGCTACTGAAAGATAAATTAGTGTTCAGGTGACCTGCCTGTCTGCTTGAACAGTTCTCTGTTGAGACTTCCCCAGATCGATCAGGCAAGCAGGATCCTTCCTCCTAAAGTCCTTCAATTTTGCCCTTGTTACTTTATGACCTTAAATCAACACAACATGTAGCCCATTCCTCTAGGGTGAAGACCTGCTTCTACTGTTGGTATTAAAATCTAGCAGGTGCAAAATAAGTATCAAATAGAGAACTCTATACATACAACCAAAGAATTAAAGTGATACTGACAAGAACTGCTAACTTAGGAAATAAATTTTTTCTCATTTCACTCACAAACCTGTATTAGGGAAGTAACCGCTTCCAAACACAATGGGCCATTAGAACGCTACTTCGAAAAACTCTTAATACAACAGTCTATTACCTGTCCATGGAATGTACTCAGGCTCTTTTCTTGATGGCTCTTCTCTGCCATACAAGGAGCTTCTGTTTTGGCGATAGTGACTAGCAGCTTGCAGTATATCCTAGAAAAATAAATGTGTTATCTCACACAAGTGGGATGCAATGGATCACTATGGTCCTGAAGACAATCTGAAACCCAAAATCTACTGATAAGGAAAATATTCAGTGCTATTTGGTTCTTTCTGCTTCTGAAATGTTTTATTTTAACCTCAGTTTTGGAAAGGTGTAACAACCAAAACAGGAAAATGAGAACTATGAAGGCTAAAGCCAAAATTAAAGCATTTTAATAATGTAAAAGCTAGGTTTTAGGAATTAAGAACTAGAAGTTGGGCATGGTGGCAAAGGCCTGTATACACATGGGACACTTGAGCCCAGAAATCAGGGCCAGCATGGGCAGCAGAGCTAGAGACAGAAAAAGAGGTATAAACCCGAATATTTTTCTGATGATAGAACATGCCTCTTCAAGTAAAAGGCTTAGTCAGAAACTCAGGATCACAGAAATGTATAATTTGCAGAAGGCAAACACTTAAATTATTTGTTAGGTGACTTGATAAAATGCTCTTTTTCTAACTTCTTGGCATTAACAAATGGCTCAGCCTTTATGTTACTAGCAGCTCAGAGCAGGACTGAGGAAGCCACTTCCTCTGGCTCCAGGCTCCTGGCTGGCTGACACCACCCAGGTCAGGCCGCACCTTGAGAATAGTGTTGACGCTGATTGCCACCTCGGCCCATTCCACAGAGTCCAGCGGCGCATCCCTCAGAACCTGCTCTTCATGATCCAGCAGACACTCACAGATGGTATCCACCTGGGACACCTGTGGGCAGACGGGGCCACTGCTTACCATGGAGTCTTGGCAACGACTACTTACTCATTAAGCTAGATCCTCTGATTATTAGATGGGAGAAAATTACTGGCAGTTAATGGTGATAATAAATATAAAAACCAAGAGAAGTCTAATCTCTTAAATTTTAAAGTTAGAGCACATAAATAACCATGTCTTATAAGCAGCCAAAACCTGGAGTTACCAAGTAGATTTTTAACTTTATACTCTGCCTCACTGTCCCCTAGCACCACCCAAATATTGAGCTGGCTGCTAGCACCGTGAGGATCTGCGCTTCACAGCACATATCTGACCACCTGTGGGAAACTTAAGAGAAACGGTGATGCAGAAATACCCAAACCCTCTGAAACCGAGCATGGTCAATGTTGATGTGCTGAACAGGAACATAGGCCCCTCTGGAAAGCTGCATAGCTGCAGACTTCTCAGCTGAGCGGGGACTGCCTTCCACTGTGAAGCCTACTACTGGTGCAGCAAGAACCAAAACATACGTGCAAGAACCTCCTGTAGTGGATCCTGGAGGGAAAACAATGGAACTTAAATCTACTAATATTTCATTTACTAATATGCCATCACATCTTTAGGACCCAGAAAAAACTATCTTAACTTAGGAAGTTATGATCACAGTGAAAGGAGTCAGCCTCAGCAGTTACTTGAAGGACTGGCGGCAAGCATAGTATCTTCAAAGGCAAAGAAAGGCCAAGAAGCAACAGAATAGGTAATACATGAACTGAATGGTGAGACTGAAGAAGTGCAGCTTCAGCAAGAGGAAACATAAGGACTAATGGTGACAGAGGATTTTGTGGTAGAGAAATGATAAAGTTGATAGACACAGATGTTAATTCATATAAAATAACTTGTTCTGTCTCTCCTAGTTAACAATATATGTGTTATTAAAACAAAACAACTATATTTTAGGTAAATATCTTTTTTATAAACTTGAGTAAAGCTATGTGATTTTTCCATCAAAACATTAAAATTCAGGGGTTCTAAATCACAAGGACCATCTGATGTTAGTATGGCTTGAAGTAATTAATAGTCAGGGTTCTACTATTTATGTGAAAATGTAACCATTTTTTTAAAAGGTGGTATTGATGGTGAGTCTTCCTAAGGTGATGCTAAAGTTTTTCAGACACTGGGACCTTCCCTGGCGGTGGACCAAGCCCGGAACAAAGCAGAGCCACCTTCTAGGCACACAGCTGCCTTGCTGCTGCAAACTGGATCTGTGAGCATGAGGAGGAAAGTATAAAGTTGCAAAAGATGTTAATTCATGTAAAATAACTTGCTCTGCCAGAAGCCACAGTATTTTGATTTGGTACTTAAATGCTACTTTTGAAATGCTATTTTTGAAAATTATCACTCACAGAAATATTATTGTATTCAAGAAAACTTTTTTTTTGGTGCAGTGTCTCACTACGCAGTTCAGACTTGTAGTGCTCCTCCTGTTTTAAGCCTCCCCAGTGCTGGGATTACAGGCGCATGACACCACACCTAGACTCGCTCACCAGCTCAGCATGTCCAGGAGCGGAGCCGGCACAGTATATGGTGTCAGGGATCAAATCCTGTCCCTGTGCTTGCCTAAGCAGGTGCTTAGTCCATTGAGCTATCTCGCAGGCTCTAAGAGTACTGCATTTACTTGCCAAATGATTTGTAACTTAGTAAAGGTATTACCTTCCTTGGATTTGTACTCTATGACTTAGCATGTTGTAGTATTGGCTGGTCATATTAACTAAAAAAATGAAGTCACTATCTGAGTTTTGAAACACTCTTAAATGAACACTTAACACTTAAAGAGAAAAACAGCTACTCACATCCAGCATTTCACATTTGCTTAACTTTTTAATTGTCATGTGTCAAAATCACGGTTCTGTAACTGCTAAGGCATGATACATGTCAGGTTTTTTAATATAATTACTTTCTGAAGTAACTGTGATCACAAAACATCTTTTTTTACATAAAGAGCTATTCATCATTTCAAATTACTCAAATGATGTCTTGATCTGAAACATAAATCCCAGGTACTTAATGTTTTTAACAATATGGTATCATGGTAGCACTGTGGGAGAAAGTAAGTACATAGTGAGAGGACTTTTAACTCTTCTACTTTTTGATATTAACACAGGGAGATAATTGCAAAAGAGCTTCGGGCACTGAAACTCATTTCCAATTTCCAGACTCGGCTCAGCTTCTACGTTTACTTAGGAGTGTATATTACAGTACTGGGCACTCAGAATAAAGAAACTCGACTTGTCCTTTACGAGCACACAAACAGAATACGAGACCGACATCTGTAAAACTTGACCCACACAATAATTCTCTGCCTGGCAAGCCTCGTTTTCCCTTGTGTACTTCTGATGTTACTAAAGGCATCCTAAAAGCCCAAATCAGAAACCTTGGCACATTTAATCTGTGAAATTAAGTATAAGAATGTTTTATACAGTTAACATGAAAACTTCCATTGTTGAAGCATATTACATGTAGGTAGGCCTATAACGGTTTTGTTTGAACATATACCAACCTTTTAAAAAATTATTCACTAAATATAGTATAACAACTGTTTACATAACATTTACATCATATTAGACATTATACAAATTCTATGTCTTTTTTTTGGCAGAACTGGGGATTTCTATGCCATTTTATATATAGAACTTTTTGATTTGGTATCTGGGGGGAGAGCATGCTGGTCTTGTAATGAACAGCCATGGATACCAAGGAATGGCTAGCTAATACTACAGGAAGTAATATCAAGGGAATCCTTGGTCTACCATGTGTATGCTCAGTGGTTTCCAGCACTGCTTGCAGGCCACACCAACACAGCCTGCAGCTCAGGCAGTGAACTCAGTGGCACCAAGAGCCTCCTAAACTGAAGACAGGCAAGGTCTCGGAAGGGAGGGCATCACCAAGCAGGTACTGTGTAACAATGCTGCCACATCTAAAATAGTTATATGAGAGAACAAAAAGCCCAAACCTAGGTTATGGTATATCAAACACTGAAAAAAAGAGGCCTATTAAATATAACCTAGTCAGGCTACTGAAGCTAGATTTTTTTTATCACCCAGAAGTTGCTCAACTGTACAGGAAAATTTCAAATTTCAAAACTGAGGGAAGAACTAGCTCTGTGTCTAAATTCAGATACCACTGCAAAGGGAAAGGAGATTCTCTAAAGAAGGGGTACATCTGCCTCACCACCTCATCAGGCTGTGGAGCATCACACAAAAGCAGAAACTATGCTACTCAACAGTGTTCAGGGGCCACCTGCTGGATGACATTTTAATTTTTCTCCCTCCAAAGTTTAAGCTGAGCTTCCTTCTCTTTTGAAAATGAGCCTAGATTGGAAACTAAGGCTACAAGCAAGACCTCAGTACGGTGCTAAGGAGAGCTCTGGGGAAGGGCTGCTCACAGAGCTGGGGGAGATTAAGGGCCCAGAGGGAAGGCGCACCCTTAGGTGAGCTCCCAAATAAGAGAAACATAGGGAGGGAACAGATAGCAGACTTCAGGGGCAGGTGGCTGGACAGGAGCAGGGTCCCATAGCCAGTTGCTATGGATGCGGGTGAGCATAAAAGCTGGGAGAAGGGCTACTCCATCCTCTGCCTTCTGCAGTGCCCCACATTCTGCACATCCAGCAGGAGGCCAGAGGCCAGGGAGCCCACAGGGAGGCCAGCTTCCTGCAGCAGAGCCCGGAATGGATGTGGAGAGACAAAGGAAGCCTCAAGACACAAAGGAACCAGGGAGCCTTCTCAGCCAGCTGCACAGGCTCTGCTTACAGACCAGGTAACAAATGAGGGACATTTCTCAATGACAGTACCAGAAAAAAGACAACACCATTTAAAATTTCCAGGTTTAGTTTGCCCTTTCTCTGGCCTACCTGGTGACAATGAACACAGAGCACAGCTCTGCAAAGCTGTAGGAAGGCATAAATGACAGGAAGTCTGACCTCGCGAAAGAAGACGTCTGCGGGAGTCAGGCTCCCCGGGATGTCACACTCCCTCTTGTTTAGAGCAATCAGAATGGCTGCGTTCACGAGGTCTGGCAGCCGTGAGTGGTGGTTCTTGAGAGCGATGGTGGCCGACAGCTTTTCTGCGTGCTCACACAGCAGCAGCCGAGTTGCCATCGGTGTCCCTCGGACTAGAGAAGTGTCCAGGCGCCCAAATAAGCCAACCTCACAGAAGAGAGGAACATGTTCTCAATAAGCATCACGGCCAAGTGCAAAGGAACAGTGATGCCCCCACCCCCACGCCGGCTCTCCTCCTCGGGCCTCCAGCTGCCTCTCTTCTCAGCTGTTCCCAGTTGGTCCCAGCACACACACACACACACACACACACACACACACACACACACCCACCCAGGGGCAGCTGCTCCTGTCAGAAGCTTCCAGAGTTTCTACCCACGACTGCTGTCTCTACTTAACTGCATTTCTTGAACTGCTGCTCATGGTGACCAATGTGGTCAAACTGTTCTCTTCCATCTACACCATTGAATCCTCCGGAATTCCAGACCTTGAGGTCCTAGAAACTCAACGGCTTCCATCTCCAAAAGCTGACTTCACAACCAAAAGTCCAGTCCTTTCTCCTCCTCCTTCTAATTTAATGACACCTATTTCGTGGGTAGAAACTCTGGAAGCTTCTGACAGGAGCAGCTGCCCCTGGGTGTGTGTGTGTGTGTGTGCTGGGACCAACTGGGTGGGTCACTATGGTATAGTTTTCCTAAGCATTCTACCTTAATCAAACAGTACCAGGAACTAGGAAACAACTGAGATACCATGTAAATAATGAGTAATTTCCCACATCAAAATAAAATTCTTTTCATTAACAAATGGTCTATTTTCTAACATACTTTTATTTATATACTAGCAGGTACCCTTAAGTATGAGAATATATTATTTTTTTCACATTTAAATATTGTTTTTTTGTACTGGGAATTGAGGAGGGCCTTGCATTTGCCCAGCAGGCACTATGCTATTGTGCTATTGAGCTATGTCCCCAGACCAAGATACTATTTTTAATGACTAAAATACTTCCCTGAATCAATCTGTTTTTCACCCTGTTCACCTGATTATTTTCCACAAAAGGTTAAGTGGATCAAGAGACGGGTGGGTGGGTGGTAGTTTAAGATATGTTATGCACACATACATTCTATGAGAAATACAATCATTATGTACTACAAGCATATACTAATAAAAATTGAAAAAAATAAAGCATTTCATAGTCTGTATGATTTTTTGGGGGGTTATCAGGGATCGAACTCAGGACCTTGTGCTTGCGAGACAGGTGTTTATGCTGCTGAGCTATCTTCCTGGCCCTTGTATGATTTGAATTCACTTCCCGGTTCCTTCAAAAATCTCTTAGGCACTGTTCTTCTGCAAGGCCTCCTACTGGACTGTATGCAGACTGATCGGAAGCGCAGCTGCATGCTGAGACACAGCCACACCCCCAGAAAGGCTGGGCTGACCCTCTACGCAGGACACACAGGCTTTGTCCACACCATAAACAAGCAGCCAGGAGTTCTGAGGTGCTGCCATCACTCCCTACCCACTTCAGAAAGCAGATGCACGTGGCTGACCATCAACTGCCTTGAGGACATGAAACGCTCCCCACTGGGAAGTGTTTCCTTAGATAGATGATTCAGTGACAAGACTTTAGTGACCACTAGTGCAAATGCTTCCCAATCATGAAGCTGTGAATATAAGCACACAGGGCAGAGCCAGATCGGGTTTTCAGGCTGCAGTAGATACTGCCAACAGCTGAGTCTCTGATAGGATCTCTGGATGATACAGCTGGACCAAGTGAGAACACAAAACCCAGGTTTTGATGGCTGTGGCCTCCGGCCAATAGGTGTGTCCCAGACCTGGCATCTGTCCCCCATATGTAGCACGTATACCTTCTTTCAATGTGGCTTTGCCCTTCACCCATTAGGACAAAGACCCAACTTCTCCATCCCTTCCATTTGGACTGGCCTACATTTTGCTTTGACCACTATCATTTTCTTCCTAACACTATAAAATCGATTTATAAAACCCTAAGTTTTTAAACACACAGAGAAAATTCTGAATGGAATCCTGTTTTTTAAAAAGGTTCTAGGGATATAAGTGTCAAAGCTGAAATGACAGGACCCCCCCCCCCAAGATACAGTGCTTTTGTTCTTTCAACTGAATTCTCAGTGCAGCTTTCTTTCTTGGTCACAGAAGATGGGGGCCACGAATCAGGTCCCACCCAAGACAGAGAGCAGGGATGCCCTCTTGGCCAGGGGCTGAAAGGCAGCAACGGAGCCCGTGGCAGCTGCAGGAGCCCAGAACACGTGCTTACTTGGTGAAGGAAGTCCATGAGGAGACAGTGGGCTTTCATCTTGTCTTCCAGCTGGTGGAGGATGATCAGTGAGGTGTTGCTGAGACCAGGGGCCTCTGTTAAGAGATGAAACCCCAAACATCATGCTTTTATAATAATCATTGCTAGTGCATTAAAGAAACAAATTTTAAAAGAACTCATCAGTAAAATTTCTTTTCTTTTGAGACAGGATCTCACTATGTAGTTCAGGCTGTTCTTTTTCTATGTAGCTCAGGCTGGCTGTGAACTAGAAGCTATCTGCCTGCTTCAGTCTTGCCTCCCAAGTGCTGAGATAACAGGCATGCATTACTATACCTGTTCAACAATAAAAATGTATTCATTACTCAAGAATTTTAAAATTTAGAGGAAACTTGGGGGGGGGCTGATACAATTTATAGTATATTTATTCAAATCAAAAGTTATACTATGGTTTAATCATTGTATCATTCTGAGGAGGGTACTGATATACTGTCTTTCCTCACCCCTACTGATGCTGAGCAGACTTGCTGAAAGGAAGATCATGAAAGAAAGAAATGTTCATCTGAGCCAGTCTGCTGGAGCTCAGGAACTAGAGAGCAGCCTAAATGTTGCAAAGAGGTTTAAGGGCTGGTTGTATGGGACAGGAAGGAGGACACGATGTGGCCACTTCTATATACTGGGACTTGTTCCCTGCACTCTTAGGAGAATGTGTAAATTCTATTAGTCAAATACACTGATTATGCCAAAATGAATCTGGGGCAAGCAGGTATCAAATGCTTATCTACATCATCAGGCTCCTCTCAGAAGTAAAATGCTGAGAACCCAATGTAATCTCACACAGAAAGAATAACTGGGACTTGTTCCAGTGTGTCCTCAGTCTCTCTATTATCTAATCTATCCTGGGTGCTTTCCAAAGTCTACTATAATGCAGTTATGGCCTTTTAACAAATGTGCTTTAAGAGACATGTTGAATAAAGAACAAGAAAATCCTTCTCAAACACAGTGCTCCAACATGCACCAAAATCGAAGCCTTCGTACCTTCGGGGACAGATTCAGCCCACCGGGGGTCAGAAGCTGGGTAGTCATCTATCAGGTCAACGCTGATCTGGGTGACCACCCTGTCTAGTTCTGCGTCACAGTCCAGGTCGGAATGAGAAAACAGCTCATCCACCATCATCTGAGCATGGCCCAAATCTTTCCTGAAATAAAATTGGAAAACAAGCTGGGTGTGGTGGCAGATGCCAATGAGCCCAGCACTTGGGTTAAGGCAAGAGGATTGCTGCAACTTCACAACCAGCCTGGGCTACAGAAGGAGTTCAAGCCCTATCTATACTACACAATGAGACCCTATCTTTTTTTTTTTTTTTTTTTTAAAGGAAAACAAAAGCATGCAAGGAGGCAAAACATTCCCCTCAGAAAACTGAAATGGAAGTCCCATGTGGAAGTTTTAGCTCAAAATATTGCTAATAACGATGAAAAAGCAGAAAACTATTATGCAGTTTAATAATATAATGAATATTTATGAGAAGATTTGTACTAATGGTGTTTAGACAAGATATCATGTCTATATCTTGTACTGTAACTACAAAGACAACAAAATACAATGTATTATTGTAACTATCCCACTAACCTGTTTTGAAACTGTCTCATTGCTATTTCTCAATAAAATTTGAAAAAAATTAATATTTAGAACATGGTAGGCCCTACACACAGAATAAAGAACAAGACACTGAAGTCAACACTGAGCATTAGAAAGTAGACAGTGTCAGGACTTATTAGTAGACAAACAAATGGTAACACACAGGAGAAGTATCAGGGTGGGGCTAATGAGCCACAGAAGGGCTGCACTAGTGCTAAGAGGATGTGCCTGTCAGTCAGCAAGTAACCTATTTTTGAGGGACCTACAGCCTGGGCTACATAGAGTTCAATGCCAGACTAAACTACATGAGGCCCTGTCTTAAAAATGAATGAATGAATAAATGAATAAACATGTCCAAGACAAATAATCAAAATATTTAGTTTGGTAAGTAGAAATAAGATCTTGTCTAATGGTGCCCTCTTCTGGACAAGAACTAAGCTCAGCAAATCGCTAAGTGGCAGATGATTTTGGGGGGCGGGGGGAGAACTGGAAAGCACTTTAGTCTGTTACTCCTCCTTCCATGGCAGTGCTGTGCATCACATACCACCACAAATGAGGTTGCAGGGTTGTGACCAGGACACTAGGGGAAATGGAGGCAGAATTCTGAGTATTTCTTAGAAATAAAAACATGCTCAACTACTCTAGTAAAGGAACAGAATACCAGGAATGTAATGCAGTCTTGCCCAAGGTCTCACACAGATTCCAGCAGGGTGGGGTGGAGGGGCTAGACCACAAGCTTCCCGGGTGTTCAATTATGATTTTACTACACTTTTAAGGAAGGTGATATCAGTGGTGAACTGAATCTGAACTCATCAAGTGCCCTGCTGACTATAAGTATACCAGCAAACCTCACTGGGCAGAGCTGCCACAAAACGAGGCACTCCGCACCCTCCACTCTATAACCAAGCACAGGTGCCTCTCAGACGATAGGATGAGCAAATCTCTGCCCAATAAGTTAAAAAGAAGGGGCTGGGACTGATCAGGAAAGGTCTAAAATGATCTCTTGGTAGAATAGGACAGAGCCCACAAGGGAAGTACAGAAAAACTTCCTGAGAGAATGAATGGCCAGGCTAAAGCTGGAGATCTAGCTGCACTACAGGTTTAAGGAATAAGGGGGACAGGACAAGCGCTAATTAGTAATTACAGGGTGAGTTTTCCCAGACTCTGATGAACGCAAGAGTTTTCATTTGTATTTTTTCAGCTAATCAAATTGAATGAAAACCAAAACAATAAAAAAGTAACTTTAAAGAAACCACACTATAGGGCCAGCCAGATAGCTCGGTGGACTAAAGCACCTGCTTAGGTGATTGGCAGTGGGCTGTGCTGGCCCCGCCCCTGGGGGAGGCCAAGATAACGATTGAGACGGGGCATGGTGGCTTGCATCTGTAATCCCAGCACTTGGGAGGCTGAAAACAGGAGAATCACTACAAATCCAATCTACATAGACCCTATACCAAATACACAGAAAGAAAAGACAAGGCAAGACAAAGCAAGACAAACATTATAAAAAAGTAATACTACTTTAGGAAAAAAAAAAAGGATAAAATTTGAAAGTATCATCTACCATTTCTGACTCTCAGGGCCCCTGAGCTAAGTCTGCAGTTGAGGAGAAGAGGGAAAGGTGCTGCTGGCCTCTAGTGGGAAGAGGCGACAGATGCTGCTCAACAGCCTGAAAGTCACAGGATGCTCCCCCTGCAACCATCAATCACCTGCCCCAAATGTCAACATGCCCAGGAGAAGCTACCAGAGTGCTAGCCAGCCAAGGCCCTGGAAACATGAGTAAGCCCAACCAAGAATAGCCAACCTGGTCCTTGGCCATCATGAGCAAGCCCAGCTGGCAATGATCCAACAGCCATCGAAGCGCAGTATCAAACAGCTGAACTGGGGAATCTAAGCCACAAAACTCAGAAGCCACTAAGTTTTATGGTGATTTTGTATGCAGCAAAACTACCAAGCCAGAAAATCATTAAGTAGCTTTCAATTCATTAAGTTGTTTCATAACAGGGGCTGGTGAGATGGCTCAGTGGTCTAAAGCACCTACTTAGAACAAGCTTAGCAAAGCACAGGGACCACGGTTCAATCCCCCAGCACC